GACCCCGCGTGAGCGTGGAGGTCCAGGGTTTGGAGAAGGTACTGGTGGTCGTGGTCCCGCCGCTCACCAGGTGCCGCCCTTTCTCCTCGCCCCTCGGCCTTGAACCCACTCCTTCTGCTGGCCCTGGCCCCGCCCCTTTCCTACTCCCTGGAGGCTTGGGGTCCTTCAGCCCCGCCTCCCCCCCGACCCCGCCTCCAGCCGCGCCTCTCGCCCTGTCCCCACCCGCTCCGTCCTGCAGTCCCCGCTCCCCGCGCTCGGCGGAGGCAGGTCTCGGTGCCACCTGCAGGGCTGACCGCAGACGCTGCGGAGATAGACTTTCGCCTGCCCCGGAGTCATCTTCTGCATCACAGATTCTCTGCAGCTCGGTGGAGGGAGGAGATGTTCAGAGGACCTCTGGGTCCTGGGACCACTGTAGCGTTGCCTGGGCAGCTTCCCCGCCCCGAGTCCCGGGAAAGAGGGTGAGCCGGGACCTGGGACATCTGTGTCTTCCCCGCTCCTCCCCGACCCTCCCTCCGCGGGACCCTGGGCAGTCGTTCCTACCCGCTCCCCCACCACCACCTCCACCCCCGGGTACGGACCAGGCAGCGGGCGAGCACTCACAGAGTGGAGAGAGGGCAGACTTCAGTCCCCGGTGAAGAAGAATGTGGCCTGAGCCACACAAAAAAGAACAAATGGGAGGGAGCTCCCACCCTGTGCGCAGAGGAGTGCCAGAGGGGTCTGGTGAGACACTAAATGGTGGGGCTGGGGAAGCGCTCGGGGTTCCCTGAAGACGGATGCCCCGCATGTGTCGAGGGGCAGGCATGAGCACAGGAAAGGTTCTGACACAGCCCCACCGGGCACTCTGAGGCCAGGGCAACCCACCTCTCCATTCCCCTCCCGCCCCGCCCCCACGCGCCCTGCTTCTCGACCCTTTTGCGCCCTCTCCTCTGCACCTTTGCACACAGTCCCCTGGGCCAGGAATGCCTGTTCTCTGCTCCATTCCTGCAGGAAAACTGGGCAAGACTCAGGGCATAATTCCTACTGTCCAAAGCAGTCCCTAGATGCTGGATCAGCCAACTCCCTGGCAGGGATCGCCCTGTCCTGTCATTGCGCCCCGCTCCATCTCTCCCACTGGACCAGGACCTAATGGCAGGGCCTGAGGCTGACCTCCAAGCATTGCCCAGAATGGCCCTGGCCCAGAGCAGGCATGTTCTGATCTGGTGTGATCAATGGGGCAGTAAACAAAAGGATGAGTGGGAGGACCGCTAACTGCTGAGACTGGAGCCTCAGACCAGCTCTGGGAAACACTTTCCAGAGGAATTTCCGCAGGTTGGTGACTCTGGGCAAGAAGTGTCTGCATCCCAGGGAAAGAAGGTGGAGGCACTCCAGGCTGAAGACCCTACCACTTGCCACATGACCTCTTTAATCCCCGAAAGCTGCTTGGCCCTTGGGCTCCATTTTGAAGATGAGGAGGCAGGCTCAGAGAGATGCCACCAGCTTCTTTTTTTTTTTTTTTTTAAGATTTTATTTATTTATTTGACAGAGAGAGACAGCGAGAGCAGGAACACAAGCAGGGGGAGTGGGAGAGGGAGAAGCAGGCTTCCCGCGGAGCAGGGAGCCCGATGTGGGAGTCGATCCCAGGACCCTGGGATCATGACCCGAGCCGAAGGCAGACGCTTAACGACTGAGCCACCCAGGCGCCTGATGCCACCAGCTTCTAAAGGGAAGGGCTGTGTGAGACCATCCTTACTGAGACAGCGGGAGGTAAGGGGGTCAGGTCTTTCCTCCCTGGCCTCCCCAGCTGGGCCTCCCCACCCCCACCCTGAGCCCAGAGCCCAGGGCTGCTGGGCAGGAAGTGAAAGGTGCCTGCAGGAAGCCCCAGGAGGAACTGAGACTTGAGCCAGCTCCTCCTCCACCTGCCCAGGCCCTGGGGACCTCAGGGAAACCAGACCCTCCTTCAGGAAAAACTGGCCAGAAACACAGGCTGGGGGGAGGGGAAGCTGCTTGCCTAGGTTCCCACCCCAACCAGCATTTCTTCCAAAGTCTATCTTGGTTCGCTTTTACAGCAAAAAGAGACCAGTTGGGGAGAGGAATCTTTGAGGAGTGATGAAAACAAGGAGTAAAGCCTGGAATCGATCCCTGGAGTCAGTCGCCCCCAAGGAGGGCACGTGGGCCGATGACCTTCTGGACAGACATGCCTTCTGGACAGGGGCAGGAGCCTCTGTCTAGCCCAGCTCCACCACGGCAGGCATACTGTAGCTTGGGCCAGATCCCTTCGCCTCCTGGGCCTCTTTTTTCCTATCTGCAACATGGGACATCTAATCCCTGTTCGTGGACATGAACTGGTCCAGACTTTCAGGAAATCAGTTCAACCAACAGGGGCCATAGAAAAACTCAGGCAAAGATTTATGTCAAGGAGGTGCTCCTGCCTCGGCTACAATAGTAAAAGCTAAAAACAACCAAATGCTCAAATGGAAAACTTCACAAGTGTTGAAAACCTTGTTGGCGAAGTGTTGAAAGACAAGAGAAAACTCACCAAATACAACAGCGAAGATATGAATTTACGTGTGTAGAATGATTACAATTACTCAGGAGAACCCACCCAGGATTATGGGTCATTTCTCCATAGACTCCACCCTGGGTTACTGCCCTGAATTTTCCAAAGTATCTACAAAATATGTGTCTCAATTTTTTTCTAACAAAAAAACATTTTTTTAAAAAGCAAACAAGGGATGCCTGGGTGGCCCAGTCTGACTTGGGCATCTGACTTGGGCTCAGGTCAGGATCTCGGGGTCCTGGGATCAAGTCCGAGCCCCGAGTCCCGTGTGGGGTTCCCTGCTCAGCGGGGAGTCTGCTTCTCCCTTTCCCTCTGCCCCCTCCCCTGACTCCTCCTCCCTGTCTCTCTCTCCAATGAATAAATAAAACCTTAAAAAAAAAAAGTAAACAAATACCCAGGCTCCTCCTCCAGGTGCTGTCATTAAGATCAAATGCAGTAACTACATGAAGGCTTCTTAGAAAGCACTTCCTGGGACACGGAGCCAGAGACTGGAGGCCCCTGAGTGGTGGGCTCCTTTCCCGGGGGGTAGGGGAGACTGACCCCCTCCCTACCCACATCTCCCCCTGCCTCTGCTCCTGGTTCTTCCCTAAGGGACCTCCCTTCTGTTATTAGCTGGATGGCAATGATGCCAAGTCTTCTCCCTCTCTGGGTCTCAGTTTCCTTATCTGTAAAATGGAGGGGTGCGGACAAGGATCCTTTAAGGTTCTTTCAAGTCCTTCTCCTCTGAGGGCCACAGGTCCGGAGGAGCACTTTGCATCCAACCCCCCATTTTTCAGAAATGGAAACTGAGACCAGAGGGGAAGCTGGGGTTTGTCTGGGACACTGTGGTGCCAGAAGTTTGCATGTCTGGACCCCAGAGGGGTTTTACCCACTCGTTTTACCCCCAGGGCTCAGCCCCCGGCTGTGGTGGAAAAGGTGAGTGGGAGGCAGAGGTGGCCAGGAACAGCACAGACGCCCCAAACCCGAGATGAAGCGGAGTGGAGGTCTGGGCCCATTCTGGGCCTGCTTCCCACCCTCTCGCTGACTGCCAGCCACCTGAACTTGCCCCAGCCACCTGGCAGCTTGCGGGAAGGGCGCTTGGGATGAATTCAGGGAGGGAGTGGCTAGGAAGACTTAAATGTGGGTGTCAGGGTCCTGGGGGCTCCAGACTGTCTCCTGGGCTGAGAAGAGGGTGGGCAGGAAGGGTGGGCGTCTGCCAGGCAGCCCTGCTGGGCAGGTCAGGGAGAAGTAGGCAGAAAGGCATCTGATGCATGGAACAGAACATGGCCAAGGCCGTACAGTGGGACAAGATGGTACCCAAACTCCATCTTCTGACTCCTAGTCCATGTTCCTTCGGAGGGTGGTAACCTGTGACAAGTTCCAAGGACTGTCCAGGACAGAGTCCGGGTCACGAGGTTCTAACTCTGTGTAGGAGCGCCAGGGGGAGAGGCAGCTCCTGACCCAGTACGGCATGGTCCACAACTTGAGGAGATGGTCTCGGTCCCAAAGCCCCAGAGCAAGGGCCCCTGCTGTCAGAGGAGCGATCCCCCTGGGATGATGACCCCAGGGGCTTGCACAGAAGGGCCAAGTGACCATAGCACTTGGGGCCCAGTGCTTCAGGAGGGCAGACCATAGAGAGAGGGAGCTCAAGGGACATCAGGCCCTCCGGTTCAAGGCCACAGGTCTGCTCTGGCCTCTGAACAAAGGCGCCCCTTGAAGGTCCTGGGCTTTTCCCTATGTACAGCTGAGCGAGCCTCGGAGGCAGCTGGGACTCCAGGTGGCCTCTGAGAGAGATGCTTGGCAGTGTGCCTTCAGTGCAGGCGTGCAGTCCAGCCCCACAGGGGCTGTAGACTTCCTCCCAAGTGCAAGCGTGGGGCTCCGGAAGCTGCTACCAGGGTGAAAATGGCATCGTAGGTCCTAGGAGATTGGGCCAACCTCAGGGTTGACCCTAGGGTACAGATACCTGAGAATTAGCACAATCCAGGCTCTTTGTAAAGATCAAAATCATCCTGTATTAAATCCTGAAGCAAACCAGTCAGTTGGTTACTCATTGCTGCCGTTTGCATCAGTTGAAAGCAGGACAGCTCTGAGAAGCAAGTATTAAAGAAATACAACACCCAGCTATAAATTAAGCATCCTCCCACTTGATCCTCTTCCTAGATTCATTCTGGTTGATGGTGGCTTCCTGGCACTTAAAGAAAAACCTCCTACGCGGTGTGCCCCAGCACAGGAGCTCTGCCACAACCTTCGAGGGCTGCCAAAGACCGTCTGGTTTTAAGCCAAAGGCTAACATGCCATGGGACGCCATGCGCGCCGTCTGAGCCCTGTGGTCTGCAGTCTGTGGTTCTGCGGGGTTAGCTGGGGAGCAGCGTGGTTCCCAGAAAAGGGGCAGGTGGGCACTGGGGTGAAGAGCCGAATCCAACCTCCAAGCCCCTGGCTGACAGCCCACAGGGAGCACAGGGGCCACCTCCTGCCCCCTCCGTCGCTACTGTTGCTCAGGGCCGGCTGTCTTGGTGGTCACCAGCTCAGTGGAGCCCAGCTCTGTGGCTGGCACAGGGACGCTGTGGGCAGGTGGGGTGTTGGCTGGGTCTTCTCTTGTTGGAGGCCAGACGGGAGCGGTGGCATCAAGGGGTCCCGGGGGGAGGATGATGACATTGTCCAGGGCCTCTGGTGGGGGGGAGGTGGGGAATGCAAGGTCAAGGTCCCCTTAGAGCCTTTCCCCACCCCTGTTCTGGAAGCCTCACTGGAGGGACAGCCCTGGACTGAAACCCCCCTGCAGGGGTGGGGAGGAGTGGCAAGTGATGGGGCCTTGGGACAGGAAGTGCAGAGGGGGCTGGCGAAATGGGAAGTGCGGGGGTAAAGGAGAAGCGTGGGAGCCTTGGGTCTCTTGCTCGGATAGCTCTGGGAGGCTAGAGTTGTGTCCCTCCCGGGGACCCGGCCGGCCGGAGGTCCTCAGAGCCCGCCCTAGAGCCCGCGCTCCCCTCCCCCCCGCCGCAGGCCTCCCCGCGCCCAGGGGGGCCGGTCTCCCTCCCACGGCCCCCGCCCCCCCTCGGAGCTTACCGTGCGGGTGCCGGGCCGGGGCCCTCGGGGGAGCCGCCGCGTGCGGCCGCCGCCGCCACCTCCAGCTCAGGAGGCCCACCAGGACCAGGGCCAGCGCCAGGCCCAGCAGCGCGGGGGCGCCGAAGAGCAGCGCGGGCAGCGGCAGCGCGGTGTCGGCCTCGGCGGCGGCCCCGGGACCCACCGACTCCTGCGGCTGCAGCGCCGTCCCGGGCGCCAGGCTGCTGGCCCGGGCTGCTGGCGGAGGGGACGGAGAGGGAGGGCAGGGGGTGGAGGGCAGGGACGGCCGGGTAGGGGAAGGGTCGGAGGGAGGCGAGGCTGGGCCAGGGAGGGGAGGGAGGGCCGGGCGGGATGGACAGGGGAAGGGGAAGAGAGGGAGCGGTGAGGGCCACGTGGGGACCGCCGGCCGGCCCCCATCCAGGGCCCGGCTTACAGCCCCCCATCAAACCGGCCACCGCGCCCCCTCCCCATCCTGGGGCAGGTGGGGGGCCATGCCCGCGCCTCCAGGGTGTGCCAGAGGCAGCGGGACCCTCCTCCTCCTCCTCCTCCCCGGGGCTGCCCCCGCTGACCAGCTGGCGGAGTGGGTGGACTCTTACCCGGTCTGGGTTCTGGCGTCCGGAAGAGCTTGCAGGCCACGCAGTTTCGGACCAGAGGGTCAAAGCACTCGGCCTGGACACACTGCGTGGGGGCCGGGCCGTCCCTGCCCCGCCGGCTCCTGGCACCTCTCCTCTTGCTGCCCATGCTGCCTCACACCCAGCGGGGACTGAGCCTGGCTTCAGCGGCCAGAGAGGAAACCGGGAGGGGCCACCACCCACTGGGCCCCGCCCCACCCTCCTGCCTGCTGGGGTGGGACCACTCTCAGCCAGCGCCCCAAGGCCCTGCAGCCCACACCTTCTCTTTCTACCTGTGGTTCCTCCATTCAACCACTCAACCATCACCCCCAGACACCGGCTGGGCGGGCCCTGTGCTCGGGGCGCTGGGACAGTGCTGGGGTGCAGACCTGGGCCTGCTCTTGGGCAATAGATGGGCCCCTGTAGTCAGGACACAGCCCTCTGGGTGGCCTCCTCTGTCCTGCTCCCCAAGGGCCAGCCCACAGCCCCTGACAATCCCCACCAGCCATGTCCTGCTCACCTCACCTGCGTCCTCCTCTGGGGATCCTTCCTGCCCTTCCCAGGCCCAGCTGGTTCAGTCCATCCAATGCTTCCTGAGAGCCCGCTGTCCTAGGGAGAAACGATGCCTCACAGCAGCCACGCAGGGGGCAGGAAGGCTTTGTCAAGGAGGTGATGATGAGAAGGCATTTGCCAGATGGAGCGAGGTCTAGGGGAGCATGACAGAGGAGGAGCCCAGGGAGTGCTGGGTCAGAGGGCTGGGCCGGGGCCTCAGCTGACGGTTAGGGAGCTTGGACTCTGGCGGAGGGCACCAGGGAACCCTGCAGGGCCTTGAGCAGACAGCGCCATAGTCGGATCTGCGTGATCGCCAGCAACCTCTGGCTGGAGTAGATAGAGGGCACAGCCTGGGAGGGGGAGGGTAGCCGAGGGTCCAAGGACGGACAGCTCAGCCTCCAGACCCTACGCAGGAGGGAGACTCAGATCACCAGATGAGCAGACAGACAGACCAAGGCCCAGTGGGCGGCCTGCCCATCCCAACTCCTTTTTCCCAGGGTTGTGCATGTCCTGGCCTGCTTGCCTCTGCGTCTCACTGAGGGCGCCTCTGTCTGTCTTTCCCGTGTTTGGGTTCCCCCACCTGTCCATCACCCGTGTCTCTCAGATTGAGTCTCAGACACACACACAAGCCCCTTCTGCCTTCCTTGACACCTGCTGCCCCGGCAGAGAGCCTCAGCACGGGCATGGTGGGCCATACCAGACCCCCAAGCCCTCAGGGCTGGGGAGCATAGAGGCAGAAGCTACTGTCCAGGGCACAGGGCAGAGGCTTGGGCACAGGAGTGGATCTTTAGCAGCTGCAAGGGGGACAGAAAGCTTCCAGGCAGAGAGACTGGCAAGGGCAAAGACAAAGAGATGTGAGAAGGGAAGCTTACTCTGGGGACAGGCATGGCTACTGCCTCGGGGGATGCTGGGAAGGCGGGCAGCCTGAGGCTGCAGACGTGCTGGGCCTCAAGCCTCAGGCTCCTGGGCAGTGGGGAGCCCCAGGTGGTACGAGTGCAGGGAGAGACCCTCTGAGCTGTGCTTCAGAAGCGACCCTCTCTCTGGCTGCTGTGAAGTTGGAGACAGGACACCATGGTCCAGGGCAGGGGAACCATCTAGAAGTTGTTTAGGAGGAACAAGTGATGCTGTGGAGTGAGGGGAGCAAGGTTGGGCCCCAGGTTTCTGGCTCAGGGGACTCTGAGGACTCACACAGACCCCTGCGTCGGCCGGCCTCGAGGAGCCCTGGCCCACTGCCTCTCCGGCCCCTGCCCACGGGCCAACAGCTCCCTGGCAGGAAGGTGTAGGCGTCAGGGCAGCTGCAAAGGAGAAGTGGGTCTGGGGTGGTGGGTGGGGGTGTGAGCGTGGGTGTGTGGTGAGGGGGTGGGGGGGCCAGGAGCCTGCAGAGCAGCGGGGGCAGAATCCCCACCCCCATCACTAGTGGTGCTGTTGCTACCTGTCACCCTGAGGATCTCAGAGCCCTTACATGGGACCGGGCACCTCATTTAACCCTCATTCCATTGGGCAGAGCAGATTGAGTCTTCTGGGAACCTGGAGTGAGGAACCTGTCCCTGGGAGAAGGTGGGCCAGTGGGGCCAGTCTGGGGTCACTTACACAGGCCTTCGGGGGTGCAAGTCAGAGGGGGAGAGTGACTGTTTACCCGGGGCCTCCTAGGTGCCGAACGGGGCACACACGTGCCCAGGACAAAGCAGTCAACGGCGAGAGGCGTGTGCAGTTCGTGTCAGTGGCGTGTGCAGGTGCCTGACCTGGGACAGACCTTCTCACTCGCGACTCCTGAGTGGGAAGCAGAGGGAGGCCTTGAATCTTGGACTTCACAGTTACGAGAAATTGCCCCGACAGACCAGTGTGATAAATGTTAGGTTAAATCCTCAGTGTATTCCTTATTTTGGTTCACATCTCTGAAGTCAAGATGATTAATTTCTTTATTCATGTTTTCTCCATCACTTCTTTTTTTTTAAATATTTATTTATTTGTCAGAGAGAGAGAACAAGCAGGCAGAGGGGCAGAGGGAGAGGGAGAAGCAGGCTCCCTGCTGAGCAAGGAGCCCAATGCGGGACTCGATCCAAGGACCCTGAGATCAGGACCTGAGCCTAAGGCAGGCGCTTAACCATCTGAGCCACCCAGGTGCCCCAGGAGTTAAAACTTTCTAAAATCAGTGTGGTTCTTGCAAAGTTTCCTTGTTCTTTTGATAGTATTTATGATTTGATTTTATTATTTTTTAAGATTTTATTTATTTATTTGACAGAGAACGCACAAGCAGGGGGAACGGCAGGCAGCAGGAGAGGGAGAAGCAGGCTTCCAGCTGAGCGGGGAGCCCACGTGGGACTCGATCCCAGGACCCCGGGATCAGGACCTGAGCCAAAGGCAGCCGCTTAACCGACTGAGCCACCCAGGCGCCCCATGATTTTATTTTTTTAAAGTAATCTCTGCACCCAATGTGGGGCTCGAACTCACAGCCCCGAGATCAAGAGTCTCACTCCACCGACTGAGCCAACCAGGCGCCTGATACTTTTTATTTTAAATACTCTGATATCATCGCCTCAAAGGTCCTGAGTGGAAAAGGGACTTTGTTGCTGAGAAACCCATCTAACAGAATGTCTCTCAGTGTTCTCACGTTTTCGCTCACCGATGAACTGTTTTACAAAGATAATTAAGTTGGGGTCTGTCAGGGAAAAGGAAGTCTCCCATGATCTTTGTCCCTCAAATTCCCCTCAAAACACCCTCCCAATGGCTCTGACACAGGCGGTATCATGACGTCCGGCTGGTTTCCAGATGGCGAAGCAGGGGCTCTGAGGGGCAGAGGGATGACCCAGCGTGTCAGGGGTGCGGGACAGGGTCTGTGCCCGGCCGGCGGTGAAGCGTGGCCTGCGCCCTTCATGCCTCGGGGACGGCGCAGGGCAAGGGAGGAAACTCTGCCACTTGGACAAGCTCGGTGTTACTCGGGGGCAGTCCCTGGGGGACAGAGGGACCCAGCCCCCCAGATCTAGATGTGAAAGTGCTCGGAGACCCAGGGTGCACTCCTTACGTAAAAATTATTTTTACTTGTAATTCTGTGAGTAATACCTGAACCCATTCTCATGAAAAAAAACCCTCAAATAATACAGAAGGCTGTGAGTAAGAAGGGGCATTTCCCCGCTATCCCCAGAGGGAGCCTGTTCTCCCTTTGGACTTTTTCATCCCATCCTGTTTTGGGCCTTTATTTTTTCTTTCTTTTTAAAATTTTTTTTCTTTAAAGATTTTATTTATTTATTTGACAGAGAGAGAGAGAGAGAGAGAATGAGAGAGAGACAGCAACGCGGGGCTCGATCCCAGGACCTTGGGATCATGACCCCAGCGGAAGGCAGACGCTTAACGACTGAGCCACCCCAGGCGCCCCCTGTTTTGTGCCTTTAAATTCTCAGTTAAGTGCCTGCAGGAAAGCAGGTTTTATGATTCATAAAAGGGGCCGCACAGTGTGAGCTGTTCCGTGGGCTTCCCTGCCCTCCTCAGCCGGGTGGGCTCCCTCCTTGGTCTTTTGTATTTTGTCAGAGGAGTGGTCGGGGCCCCAGAGTAGGGAGTCCCTTTGCCTTTCTCCTGTTGTATCGCTGACACACAGGACACTTTTAGAAAGACCCTCGCCCTGGGGACAGTGGGAAGAATGTGAGAACACAGGGATGCTGAGGGGCAGGAGAGGCAGAAGATCCATACAAAGTCTTTGTGAGGCTGCAGAGCCCCCAGCCCCTTTCCCCGTGACCCCAAGCTCTGCAAGGAGGCAGGCATGCCTTCTATGACACAGTTCTAAAATCCTTGTCCAGGTTTTCACAGGCCCAGGCTGCCCAGTCTCAAGCCCTCCCCGCCCCCCCTCCCCACGCACATACACCCGCATGTACACTCACACGCACAATGCGGGCATGCGCACACGTGCGCACACAATCCAGCACACCTCAGGGCTGTGGCCCAGGGCGGCCCAGCAGTTCTCAGCATGGTCCTGGGATGGGGGGACACAGGCCCTCCCTGGGAGGTCAGAATGGAGAGCCCAGCCCCTTAGTATCTCAGCCACAGGGAGTAGAGTCCCAGCCCGCACCCCCCCCCGGGGGCTAGGCCTGCAGGCGGAAGGTGGAAGGCCGTGAGGCTGGGGTGGGGAGGAGGGAGAGTGGGGAGCCTCCCCAGGGGCTGGGGGGACAAGGGCCACGGGCTCTGGGGCTCCCTGCAGGCTTTCGGCCCTGTATGAATGATGCACAGGCCAACTCTGTGAGCAGACACCTCCCTTCATTCAGCAAATACTTACTGAGACTTACTCTGCACCAGGCACTGTTCTAGGTTCTGGGGAGAGGGCAGGGAGCCACAGAGACAAAATCCAAATGGGGAAACCGTATGGATGAGGGGCTGAGAAGTGCTGGGGAGAAAAATTCAGGAGGGAAGGGTGTCAGGGAGGGCCCGGGAGTCAGGGCAGGCCTGGCGAGATTTCCAACCAGAGGGATGGAGGCGAGAGTGACCCCCCAGGATGTCTGGGGAGGAGCAGACGAGGTGCAGGGTCTGGGCACAGTAACCAGGAGAACGGCAGTGCCCAGTACCGACTGACCTCCTGCCCGGCCCTGTGCCCTGCATGAGCCCATACCCCTTGCCTCAATCCTGTGGGGGAAATGGCAGCGGGATTCCCACTTTACAAAGAGGAAAGCAGGCTCAGGAGGATCAGGGATGAGCCAGGCAGCCCTGAGCTCTCCCACCACACACACATCAGCGGAGTCCCCTCCTGGTCAGCAGGTGGAGGCGGGAGGTCAGGTGCAGCCCTAGAAAGCCTGCAGCCAAACACAGGATGATCAGGTGCGGGGAGCCCCCTGGCCTTGCAGGGCCATTATGCAGCCAGACCAGGCATCCACCCAGTGTTAGCTCCCAGGGGCCCCCAGATGCCTTTGGCTTTCCTCCTGATGTAAGAGGGTGGCCCCAAGGAAGGCTGCCTCCTGTCCAGGTCGGGGCACTGGGGCTCCCTACCCTCTCTCCCTCCCAGAGTTGGTCCTCAGCAGCCCTCAGTCCAGAGGGCCACACTCAGGTGGGACTCAGATGTGGGCAGGTCCGGACAACCCACCACATTGTCCCCACTCTCCACCCCCCCACCCCCCCACCCCTTAAGTCTCCAGGTGTCTATGAGAAGTCTTTCCACACTGATTGTCTGCTGCACTCTTATGGCCCCAGGGGAGACAGAGGGAAGGAGGGTAAGCCAGCAGGTGCCCTGTGGAGAGGGCCCCTTTCTGCTGGAGTCCTGTCCAGTAGGCCTGGCCCAGCACCAGATGTGTGAGGGGAGGGGCAAGCTGGGGCAGGCCTTTATCTCAAGAACTCCCCAGCACTCCACCCTGCCCACCACCCCCTGGGCACAAGCAGCCACGGGGCATGCACAATGTCAGGCTCTTTGGTTTCTCTGAGACTTATGAGAACCTCAAGAGGCTGTGGGGACAGGAAGACAGGAAGTGAGCTGCCCCAGGTCACACTGCAGGTTGGCCACAGACCCCAAGTCAGTGAGACTCAAAGGCTGGGTCCTTTCCCACTGCATCACTTCCCCTCTGTGACCAGGTCGTCCTGTCAGAGCCCCAGCCCGAGGCTGCCCCTGCCTCTGTTCACTGAGGGGTGAAGGAGACACAGGTGCCATGCTGCTGAGCCCCCTCCTCCCTGGGAAGGCTCTGCTTCCTTGGCCAGGGTGGGAAATAGCATTAGATCGGGGCCAGGACACACAGGCCCGGGCCATCTCCTACGAAGAATGTGAGCTCCCTGGGGTGCGCCCAAGGAACAAAGGAACCTGTGACTTGAACAAGCCTTGCCCCTCTGAGAGCCCCAGATACCTCATCCGCACGGCGGGGCCCAAACCCCACTCTTTCCTCCAGGTACTCAGACAGCATGGACCCGGCAGCTCCCAGGTCCAATAGAAAAGCATCTCCTGCAGGAGCCTCAGGCCGCCCACCCATTCAGATTGGTAGCCCACGCCCTGTCACTGCCTCCAATGTGACCATCTTGTGACCAAGGCCAGCCTGAGAATTCTGACATTTGCTTAAAGCATTATGTTTAAAATAATGGCTTCTTGGGGCTCCTGAGTGGCTCAGTCGGTTAAGCGTCTGCCTTCAGCTCAGGTCATGATCTCGGGGTCCTGGGATCGAGCCCCGAGTCGGGCTCCCTACGCAGCGGGGGCTCTGCTTCTCCCTCTGCCTCTCCCCCTGCTTATGCTCTCTCTCTCTGTCAAATAAATAAAATCTTTAAAAATAAATAAATAAAATAAAATAATGGCTTCTCCTTCTCAGTCCTGAGACCAGCTGGGGAGAAAGGCATTCATTAGCCTGATCTCATCCTACAGACAAGGAAACAGGCTCCCGGAGGATAAAGTGACCGGCCTAAGGTCATGAGATCCGTAAGGAACCAAGCACAGCCTCTCCCAGCTCCCTCCACCCCGCCACAGCACCAAGCACCCATTCCAGGCACCACCGGGGCATAAAGACTGGTCTTCCATTACTTCCCTTGATGGAACTGCCTCCCAGCGTCCCTGGCCTCCAGACTGTGCAGAACAGCCGCTCTGCCTGGCCAGGGGCACAGGCCTGGGAGGGCTGCCGACTGCTGTTCAGAGCTGCTCAGCTGTGCTGTGAGGCAGACGCAGCCTCTCGGTTCCTGGGCCCCTGCCAAGCTCGCTGGTTGGCAGCCGCGACAGCCCCGAGTCCCCCCGGCACTTGGAAGGCTCTCAGATCCTCGGCTGGAGTGTGATGCCACTTCTCTTGTTAAATGGCACCAGGTGGCAAAGAAAACATGGCACAGGGACCAGAGAGAGAGAGAAGTGTGCCCCGTGCCAGCTGTGGGGAGGCCAAGGGGTATGGGGAGACCCCCTGGTCTCCAACAAAGTGCCGTGCCCAGCGGAGGCAGGCAGGCTGTGTCCACACTGCCCTCCTCTTCTGCTTGGACACCTGCTCCATCAGCTCCCAGGGACCTACCCTGCTTGCACCCCCTCTCCACACTGCCCTGCAAAGCCCCACCCTCTCTGGCCCAGGCTACTGAGGAGCTGAGACAAGGCTGGTTCCTAGGGGGCACCGGGCCTCTGGCGATCCTGCCCGTCCCCTCAGAGACCAACACACCTCTCACCTCGGCCTCTTCCTTCAACCCGGGACGCAGCAACCTCACCACGGGAGCTGGGCTCTCTTCCCCAGCGCCGAGGAGCCCCCGGTCTGCAGTCATATTCTCCCTGGCTCGGGCAGTGCTCCCACCCCGCTCCTCGCCCTCTCCTCCCCCAGGCCCACCCCTGTCCTGAGGCGCGGACCCCAGCACATGGGAGCGGCTCCTTGAGACTGCCCTTCCTGACGGCGGCTTCCTCAGTCAGCGCCTGCCCAGCGGAAGCGCCGGGACCTTTGTCCAACCGTTAGGCACCTAAGGAAACGACTGGAGGGAAGAGCAGACGGGGATCTGGAGGCAGCCGCCTGATTCGCTGTGTGACGTGGCCCCGCCTCTGGCCACTTCAGTCCTGGCTCCTCGGGCGTAAGTAGGGAAACAGGATCAACCTCGCAGGTCCGCCGGGGCGGGGGTGGCACAGGACCGGCTGCTGGGGAGACGACAGCCTGCAGCGCCTTGCTGCGTCGCGGGCACGGCGGACCTCAACTGGAATCTTCGCAGCTGAGGTTCCCGGTCGGCCCGCGGGGTGGCCTCCAGCCGGGTGTCTGGCGGCCGGACCTTACCGAGCACCAGGCGCGCAGCGCTGGGCCCGGCTCAGGCAGGAGCCCCGGGAAAGGAGGAAGGCAGGCCCCGCCCTCGTGAGTTTCAAGTCCGCCCCACTTCACGGAGAGCGTGGGCTCCGGCTGTGACGGCAAAGTCAAGGCAGAGGCCCCGCGGTGCCAGCCCTGCCCCGGGCACCAGGCAGGGCCCAGCACAAGCCAGGTGGGGGGGCAGCGTCATGGTCCAAGGGAGCCCAGACCCGGCTCTCCTCCTGAGATCCTGTCCACCAGCCCCCGTGTGCCCAGCTGGCTGACCGGATTCCTGGATTCCAACCCTGGCACTTCTGCAAATTCTCCTTAGACCCGGAGAAGACGGGGAGCCACAGTCACGGTGCAACCTCCGGCCGCCAAGCCGGGAGCCAGCCCTCCAGACAGCCTCTCTCACATAATTCCCACAAACATATCAATTCATACAGTTCCCACAAATGTATCAATTCATAAACAGTGTAATTCCTGGGTTTGCACCAGCTTTTGAACCTAGCTCCGTGGGATTTCACACAATAGTTACCGTTCACTGAGCGCTTAGCCGGTATGGGGCAAGGCCTTACTGCAAGGGATCGTGGGATACACGGAATACAAGCGGAGGGAGGAACACAGCCGCAGGCTTGTCATTTCATTCAGTCCTCGCAATGCAGCAAGGACACTAGACGAGCTCCACTACACACCTGGGAAGCCGAGGCTCTGTGAGGCCACGGCAGGCTCTGTAAGGATGGCAAGGCTAGGATGTGGGGTCAGATTGGGTCGCAGAGTCCAAGCTCCCCTGCCCGACCCTAACTGTCCGGAGTCAGTGTCCTCATCTGCACAGTCAAGGTGGTGGAGGAGACCAGGGGTTTTCAAACTTATTTTTGAGCCATGGACGCTTTGTTCAAGCGAAGCCTGAGGTGGAGAGGGAGCCCGGCAGGTGGATGAAGAGCATGGCGGGGAGGGGGCTGCATTCCCACCAGCGGGGCTCCGAGGCTGGGCCGTGCAGGGAACCGACCGCTGACCCAGAGCCCGGCAGGCAACAGCGGAAGTCTCCCGCGCCAGGCACTGGGCCGTGGGGAGGGCCAGCTCGGGGGGCCGGCGGCTCTCACACGTCCTCCAGGGCGGGGTTCTCAGAGCTCCTCAGCAGGGACAGCAGGTTCAGGGCCGAGACACCGGGCACGTGGCCCGCGCAGATCTGCAGCATGCGTACCAGGCGCTGGGCCACCGTGGCTCGAAAGCCTTCCACCTGCAGAGGGAGAGCGGAGGACAGGGGTGAGGCAGATCCGGGCCAGAGCAGCTGCACAGGCTGCCAGAGGGGGGCTGGATTCGGGCACCACTGCCCATCACGGCCAGGCCCCTGTCCGCAGCACTCCTCACCCAGCAGCTACCAACTGCTCCGGCTCACAGAGCCTTCAGACGCCCTCCAGGGACGCCACAGGCGACGGCCCCGCCTCCAGAGGAAACAAAGCTTAGCAAGCGGGGCTGGCGAAGTAGGCGAAGTGTCTCGAAGTAGGCGAAGTGTCTCGTGGCCACCGAGCTGGGATCTGAACCAGAGCTAGTTCCAACCGACGCCCAGGAGGCAGAAGCTCCAAAGGCTCCTTACCCGGGAGCGAGGAAGATACTCCCAGGCGTGGGAAAGAGGAGTGGACACAGAGTGGCCCTCATGGGGACAGGGAGGTGCCATCAACAGAGTTCCTTTACCAGGGCTTTCGAAGGCAGGGGCCCAGAGGTGCTGTGGGGTGGGGTCAGGTAGGGCGGGCAACTCTGACCCCGGGGCCTGGCGCCACGTCGGTGCCTGGTGAAGGACAAACGATGCTCGGTCCCCCTACCCTGCCAACGGCCGCCTTAGGAGCATCTTGGGCTCCCCTTGCTCCCCCTCTAACTGAGGAAGGGGGCCTTGCCGTCTGACCAGTCACCTTAACTATTCCAAATCCAGAGGTGGCTGTCATTCTCACCAAGTCTCCTCTCAGCAGACCCTGGTCTGCCACAGCGCTCCCCTCTCCAGAATGCTTCCCACCTGCCCCCAGGAGGCCACACTCCCCCCCTCACCTCCTCCCGCCTCCCAGGCTGCTCCCTCCTGTCACATATCTAAGTGCTGCCCCTGCCCACGGCCTTGGCCTTTGCAGGGCTTCTCCCCACACACTCCCTGGAGACCTCATCCAGTTCCGTGATCTAAAACCATCTCACTGCCCACGATGCCCAAATTACATCTCCAGACCCTTCCTCTGAACATCAGATGCACATATGTGGCTCCCTACCCGAGACAGCCTGATCTTATTAGCATGTCCCCAGTGGAGTCCCTGTGGGTCCTCCCAACCTGTCCCTGCTGCAGTCACCCCATCTCAGCCAAAAGCAGCTCCATCCTAACAGCAGCTCAGCTGAAAACTCCAGGGCCATCCTGAGTCTCCCTTCTCCCATGTCTCATACCCAGGCCACCCGCACAGTCGGTGGGCTCCACCCTGGAAAAGCCCCAGTATTGCAGACGGTCCTGCCTCCCTCTTCTCTGAACACCACGGAGCCCAGGCCACTTCTAACTCTTTCAGAAACAGCACCCCCCCCCCGCCATTTCCTCATTTCTGTCCCTGCTTCCCTTCTACATACTCTCCTACCAACAGCTGGAGGGATCCATTTAAACCCGCATCACATAAATAGAAAAGAAAAATAAATAAAGCCAGGTCAGGCCGCATCCCTCCCTGCCCCCACACCCTCCCTGTGGCTCCCGGTTTACCCAAGGCGAAAGCCACAGCCCTCACCGAGGCCCACAAGGCCCCCCTGCTCTGGCGACGCAGTGACTCTGGCGCATCCACCACTACTCTGCCCTGTGTTTGCTGCGCTCTGGCCCTCGGCCTCCCCGGGGGGAGCCTGGACACACCAGGCAGGCCCCACACGCCAAGCCTTGGCACTTGCTGTTCCTCCGGCCTCTTGTGCTCCTTCCAGGGCCTGCCCTCCTCCCGTCTTCAGCTCTTCCAAGGTCTTATTAATGGTCACTCCCGTCAAGGCTGCTAAACCATAACCGCTTTACCACCTGACGTGCCACATCCTCACTTTCGAACACGTCACACCCTTGACTACTTTACTTTGTTCCCTCCACGACAACAGAGTGGGGATTTTTTTCTTCTTCTTTCACTCTTTTGTTCTATGCTGCGTCCCCAGTGCTTGGCACACTGGACCTAAGAAGTCTTTGTTGCCGAAATCCTTCCTTCTGAGTTCTGTGGCTTTGCCCCCCGAAATATACCTCCGAGCCGCTGTTGCTGCTCGCACCCAGGCTCCCCGGCTGGCCTCCTGCAGCAGCCTCGACCCCCAAGCCTCGTCCCTGGCCAGGCCTCCTCCAATCCGGAAATGTGGCCCCAAACCCAAGTCTGAGCACATCAGGCTGCTCCCGTCACCTGCAGGAACGACTTCAGCCCACCACCCCAGGCTTCCAGGTCTCTGCAAGTCCTCCTGCTGTGGCACACTGCACCTGCTGGTCTAGCTCACCCGATTCCGAGGGGGCGGGCGCAAGGCCTGGCTCATGTGTGTGCCCAGGGAACGGCACAGGGCCCTATCAGCGGCGCTCGGAAATACAGTCACTGCGCCAATCCCCCGGCTTCTTGAATGTGTTTCTTCATGCGTAAAAGGGGGCTGAAAATTCCTGCCCCGCAAGGCTTTAAAACACAGCGAGGCTCAAACTCAGGTATGTGGAGTGTGCCCCGCAAAGGACAGCATGGGGACGAGGAGTGATGACTGCCCAAATGCCAGGGGCTTCGTCTCAGGGAAGGCCAGCTGCTGCCTGCAAACAGACAGGGGGCCACAGGCCTTTTCCTGGGCGCTCAGGCTCCCGAGACCCCAGGACCTGGTGTGGCCTGCCACCTACCGGCTACAAGGAGGACTGCACCACACAGCACCAGGTTCGGGGACACCACAGCCGGAAGCAACCAAGGTTGGAGGTACCTGAGCTGTGGAGCAAAGATTAGGGTTCCCCTTTGGAGATAAGGAGATGAAGGCTGCACGTAGGAGAAGTGACTGGTTCAAAGCTACACAGTCAGCAGACCAGGAAGGGCAGGAGACAGCTGTTTGCAAACCCGCGGGCTCTGCCGCTAACTTACTAGCTGCATGGCTGAGCAAGCAGGTCTTGGGTTTCTGGGGTATGTGGTGAGAAAAGCCCAGACGGGCAGGCACTTGGGGCGTGCCCCAGGCATCAGTGTCCTATCTGACAGCAGAGTGCTAAAATGGTCATCAAATACGAAAAACGAGTTCATGACAGAGTAGGGTGTGCATCTTTATTGACGCACTGAATAAGGAGAGCTGCCCATCCCCTTCTGAGATGGAAACATCCACCATTTCTGCTGGTAAAACAGCCCTAGCCCCTGCTAGTACTACTGACATCTCTTGCCTTTATTCATAATGCTAAATTCCACATAGAGTTTAGTGGGAAAGAAAGAAGTATTTTCTTCTTGTACAAGTTCACAGATCCCCCGAATTCTACCCTCAGTCCAGGGCGGTCCACAGACCCATGACTAAGAACCCCAGGTCTGGGTGGTGATAACGGACAGGGTGCTGACTCAGCTCTCTGCATGACATCACTTGGCCTTTGGGAACAGATGCAAGACCCAGAACAGAGTAGAAGTGAACCTCAAACCCAAAAAACAGACCCCAAAACTAACTGAGCAGGTCTGGTACGTGGGTGGGGCGGCCCAGGCCCTGGGAGCCCTCTGAAGACCACCCAGAGGAAGCAGCTGCTGAGCACTTTTAGCAAAAAGTCAGGATTCATACTGCAGAAAGAGAAGCTGAAAAGCAAAACGTATCAGCAAAACAGAAATCTGCTCTGCTGTGCTCCTAATTAGGATCACCTCTGAGAAACACCAACAAAAGTGAGTTGGGGCAGAACCGACACCATACACATCCCTCCAACCCTCTACCCACCCACTCCCCCACCATCCCTGCTGCCTGCCGGATGCCGTGCCCCAGGCTGGGACTGGACCAGGCCTGCAGTCCAGAGGCATAAGGGGGACAGTGGGCTTTCTGACTGTGGGGGGACATGAGCGGCCCTGGTTAATGAAACAGACAAGATGCCTGGCGTCATAGCACTTCCAGCCCAGCAGGCGAGTGCGATATTAACGAGGACCCACACATACACACCCAAGACTTAGTTATGAGAGAAAACAAAGCAAAAGAAAAAAGCAAGGCACAAGCCCTAGCACGTGGCATCTAAGAGGTGCTCGGGCTGAATGCATATCATCGCCCTGCTTTACATCTGTGCACCCCGACGCTTAGGGTGACTGCTGCACCCGAGGTACAGCCAGTGAGCAGACAAGCCGGGGTTCAAATCAGGATCTTGTGTCTTCACATCAGGACCCCGTTGCTCGGGCACGCGACGACCCTCCGAGAAGCGCTCTCGACACACCCACGGTGTGCTGACGGCCCTTTCCCCGTGCCCACGCGATCCGTGTCCTCACCTCCAGGTCACAGAAGAGCAGAGGGCTCCGGTAGGTGCGGGCCAGCCTCACGACAGTGTTCCGGTGGATGCTGCAGTGGCCCTCCCGCCCAGCTGCGGAGAAACCGTGAGGGCCGCGGGCTGGAATGTCTGCCTTCGCAGCTGTGAGCCAGGAAACACTGGGAGAACTCATTCACTACCCCTCTCAGGGCCTCAGTTGCTTACTGGTCAGTGGGGTGACCATCCTGTTCAACCTGCTTTTCATCAAATTAGAACATAAAGCTGGAAGGCCCTGGAGAGAGTGCTCTATAAAAACACGAGTTTCCTCATCTCGTGTTGAGGATGGGATGAAGATGGGAACAGCCCCCAGTACTACAGAGATTCAATGAATTAATCTATAGGAATGACCTGGCATTCCTTATTCATCAATGCTTATTAAGAGAATAATCTGTGCCAGGCCCTCCCCCCTTCAGGAGTTCACGGTTCAGCTGGGTGGGGGCAGAGAGCTCAGACACACCACCCGTGTAGGAGGAAGGGTGGGGAGGAGTCTATGGGATGGACTCCTCGGGGCCCGGACTGCAGGGCTGGTCAGGGAGGTGTCCCCCACGAGACGGGAAATAGGGGTTAGCTAGGCAAAGAGAAGAGCATTCAAGAGAAGCTGTAGGATATAATCGTTAAGGGCCTGGGCTCCGGAGGTATGAATATTGGCTCTACCACTTTTTAGCGGTGGGCCTCGGGCAGGTTCCTTAACCACAAGGACAGTTTCCTCAGCTATAAAACCTAACAGTATGTGGCTCAAAGGGTTGTGTGTAGTGAAGATGAAGTGATACAGAAACGAAGCACTTCTGGGACAATGTTTGGTATACAGTGAGTGCTCAGGAAAGGCGAGCTACTGTTATTTCTGCTGTTAAATATGACAAAGTCTCCGGAACGGCAGGACTTGTTCAGAGAACTATAAGCCGAACCAAAGAATGGGAGAGTGACAGGAGACAAGCCCAGACAGGAAGGTGGAAGGCCAAACTTGTGTTTTCACAGGAGTTGGGATTTTACTCTGAAACCCACAGGGAGTCACCGGGTAACTCTCCACAATTATCTCAGCAGAACGATCCGCTCAGATCTGCTTTCGGAGAGACGGCCAACAGGTCAGAGCCTGAAGCTCACGTTCTTTCCGTCCCCCCGGGGCAGCCTCAGTGAGGAGTCTACACAGTGCCAGGCACACAGCGCCCGCGGCGGGGGCAGAGGGGGGATGCACTTACCGCCTGTGATGAGGAAGCCCACCTTCCCGAGGAAGAAGGTGGTGTCCACATGGCGCAGGGACTCCTCCACGTTCCGGAGGCTGGTGCGAGGAGACAAACCAGAGGACAGACCTTACCAGCGAGAAGGCAGAAGGCCTTCCTCTTCCCAGAGAGGCCGGGGAAGGAGAGGTAAAAGGAAACACCACTAGGGGAGTATTTTGTCTTTCATTCTGTTTAAGGACTTTTTAATTACAAAGTGACTCAAGCCAGTAGAATAATCCAACAGTAAACATGGATGCATTCAGTAAAAAGTAAGTCTCCCTCTCGAGCATCAACCTTCCGTCTCAATATCCTGGAGGTTACTGCTGCCCACAGTTTGAGGTATAATGCCATTTCCATATGAATTTCTCATATGCAAATACAGGCAGTGATATGTATAAGCATGTAGTTGGGTTTGGTTGGGTTCGACCTGTTACCTTCTTGGGAATGATCACCTGATATCACAATCTATTTTCTAGGTGATGGACACTTACATGGTCTCCAATTTTTCACCATTACAAAGAATGTCACATGAACATTCTTTTACTTGTATTCTCAAACATGTGGGCAAATGCTTCTGTAGGAAAGATGCTAGATGGAGAATGGCCGGGTCACAATATGTGTCTTTCTAAAATGTACCTCGGTAGGGGCACCTGGGTGGCTCAGTCAGTTGAGTGTCTGACTCTTGACTCTTGGTTTCAGCTCAGGTCATGATCTCAGGGTCCTGAGATAGAGCCCAGTATTGGGGCTTGAGAGTCTCCCTCTCCTCCTCCCTCTGCCCAGCCCCACTTGTGCATGTGCACGCACACTCTCTCTCTCTCTAAAAAAAAAAAAAGTACCTAGATATCACAAAATTGCTTTCCAATAAGGTGACGGTATTTACAGTCATATCAAGTATATGAAAACAGTCTTTTCCTCTAGGAAAAGGGCACTTTGACCTTCTGGGTCAAGGGTTTCATTCACTGGTGTCCAAGGAATGATGAAATCTGTTGTCTCCTGGCCAAAAAGCCAACTTGGTCAGGTGAACCAAGCCAAGGTTTCAGCCTGAACGAGCAAGGCCTGAGACAAACAGTAAGGATGGCTCTCTATCCCTAAGTGTGACTGCAGAGCAGAATCTCCCCAGAGACCAGTCAGCGTCCCTTTTGAACAGAGAGGTCTCACCCAAAGAGCAACAGATCTGCTGAGTTAGGACCTCTGGCAATCATGGCAGATCTCAGGCCTTTCTGTGCCCCACCATGGGCTCCAGTCACTGCCCACCTGTTCCAGCTGGCTGGGCAGCAGGTTTGGATTTGATCCTGCTGCTGGGTGTGTCTGGTAGCTCTATGTCCCTGGTGCTAGGTGTTTCCACCACAGCCTTCCCTTAACCCCCACATGGCTGGGTGTGTGCCTTGGTTTCCGTGCTGGATGCTGTACCCTGCCTAACCTCCGTCAGCCACCCCCCAAGAGGGAGAGAGCAGACCTTCCTCCGCACCCCCCAGGTTGGCTGCAGTCCTGTCCCCCAGGGTGGCCAGCACCACAGGGAGGCCAGTCCGGGCCCCCAACAGCACCACCACTCATGCTCCCCTGGCTAAAGCCCCACACTGCACTGGGCTCCTGAGCCTGGACTGGCCTTCACAGTCCTGCACACATCACGCTCCTCCTGCCTGTTATATTAACCTTCTGGAACCTTCTACGGACTCCCATATTTACCAGGCTAGCTCGACCTGGTCACCTCCAGCTGAAAGTCTACTCTGCCCCAAGTCCTGAGAGTCAGAGGTCTTGTTGGGGCTCTCATAGCCCAGCGTGTTCTTCTTTTATAGTACCTGTGCCAGATACTGTACTCATCCGTTCAGGAGTCTAGCTTCCCCTCCCAGTGGGCTGGGAACACCTTGGGAACAGGGGTCTGCATCATTCCTGTCTGGGCCTGCCATCAGGGATACAGAGAAGGCTACAGAAAGCTTTAGAGAAACGACTGATGCCACTGCTGGAGTTTATCAGTGTCTTTATTTTTTATTTTTTAAAATTTATTTATTTGAGAGAGAGACAGCAAGCACATAGCGGGGAGGAACAGAGGGAGAAGGGGAGAGAATCTCAAGCAGACTCCGTGCTGAGTGTGGAGCTTGACGTGGAGCTCAATCCCAGGACCCTGAGATCATGACCCGAGCCGAAATCAAGTCTGACGCTTTAACCGACTGAGCCACCCAGGCGCCCCTTCATCAGTGTCTTTAAAATATCATGCACTTGCGGGGCGCCTGGGTGGCTCAGTCGTTAAGTGTCTGCTTCGGGTCTGGTCATGATCCCAGGGTCCTGGGATCGAGCCCCGCATCGGGCTCCCTGCTCCGCGGGAAGCCTGCTTCTCCCTCTCCCACTCCCCCTGCTTGTGCTCCTTCTCTCACTGTGTCCCTCTCTGTCAAATAAATAAATAAAATCTTAAAAAAAAAAATATCATGCACTTGCCCCATCCTCACCCTCTGGGCTAACCCCAGGCAGCCTCTCCCTGTGTCCCCTCCTTCCCATCACAAGTGAGGTCACCATCCCCGTGCACCTCTAAGCCAGGTCTAGCTGAGCCCTGACAGCCCCTGATCTCTGGCTCTCACCTGTATTTGCTGTGAAGGTTGACCACGAATACAATCAGGTCAATTCGGGGCCGATTCACATTGGAGGGCAGAGGGAGGGACCTTGCCAGGTGGCTGAAAAATGAGAAATTGCAGGATAAAGATATACATACCCACATCACAGTGAACTTTCACATGCTGCCCTCCATGGGGTAAGAGGCTGTCAGAGGCTCCTCACCTATTCCCCGGAGGCTCTTGTGGGCTAGACTCCTCAGGTGAGCATAGGGACATGGCAGAGCTGGTCCTATCTAGACTGACTCCTTCTGCCAAAAGGGAGCTCCGTTTGGGAACCACCTTGGCGAGAGGGAGTTCGTGATATAAGATGGCACGGGGCTAGCCAGCTACACTGTATGCTGGGAGGGAGATCAGGCTCAGAAGAGGGGTGTTAGGCTGTGAAGATTAGGGGTTAAGGCTGACCCCCTTTGGAGGGTGATGGAAGTGGGCTCAAATCTCAGGTCTGCCAATTATCAGTTATGTGACCTTGTAAGTCACCCCCCCCCCCGTCTGAACTTGTTCCCTCATCAGATTCTTTCAAATGCTGTAACGGGTTTATTCTCCTAGTGAGGGGTGTTTCTGATTCCCATGGAGGAACACCCTGTAGACTGGGATCCTTCTCCTTCAACATGAGCCCCTGGAGCTTATCTATCAGGGAGAATGACACCCACATATATCCAGTCACCTGATTCCCACCAGCAGCCGTTTCTACTCTCCATCAGTTAGAAAAAGAAAAACAAAATACTACCTTTTTAGTCAACTTTTCTCGAAATTTGGGGCGGGGGGTATCTGAACACTCCTCTGTGCCAAGTACTGCTCAAACTACCGGGGATTCAGTAGTGAAAAAAGTCAAAGTCCCTGACCTCAAGGGGCTGACCTGAGGGTCCATGGGGGTGGCAGACCGGAAACAAGTAAACAAACAGGTGAACAGGGACATTTCTTGTGGTAACAAGTGCTGCAGGAAACAGAAGTGTGTGACAGACAGTGAGGGAGGATCTCTTAGCTGGGGACAGATCACGCCTCGCGGGCCTGGCCCCACCTGCGCCCGCCTCTCTGGCAGCTCCTCCGCTCGCCCTCCTGGGCAG